TCCTGGTCAACCATCTTCAGGGCTTCTTCTGCAATAACAAGAATTTCAAGTTAGAAAGAATTAAAGCAAGTTTGCAATAAAAAGAAAATAACAATTGTTCCGGGTGAGAAGTATTCTACCCCTGGGAAACATTGTGCTCAGTCCGCAGGCGGACAAAAAGCATTCATCTTTGAAGAAGTCCAGGTGGAGAATCCAGTTCTTAGGAACAATAATGTGAGTCCCATCCCCCATGGGCTCAGTTGTAGTTTCAAAAAATCCTGGCTCCATGATCTGCTCCCGGGCTTTAGTAGATAGTTTCGGGAGAGGGCATTTGCGTCCAAGAAGAGCCGGCTCAGTGTTGTACCGGCGCAGTGTCCGGTTGTGTCTTAGGGTGGGGGAGGAAATCAAATAAAACTTGTCCTTCCACCCGGACCATTTGGACACTTTATCCAAAGTCATTAAGTATTGGGGCAAGGTAGTCAGAGTATACCAAGCCCCATGGCCGCCTGGAGCCTTGCTCAAATAGTGCATGGGAGCGAAGGCAGAGAAGCTAGGGTTCAAGTTTTGGAACTCACAGGCGGCAATGTAACTTAAAATGTTCACCCACGAGTTTGGGGTGAGCTGCCAAACCCCCAGATCGTACCCCTTTAGGATTTTCCTAATCCCGGGGTGGAGGGGGAACCGGAGGCCGGCTTCTATTACCGCCTCATAGCAGATGAAGTAGTCATCTGCATGATCAATGTCGTCCCCCCAGGCCATTACAGCATCAGCCGGAGGGACAATAACTTCCCATCCCCTTCCAAAGGGATGTTTCTCCTTAAAAGCCCTGAACCCGCTGTTAAGAAGGGCAATGTTGCTCGGCGGCATCCGGGTTCTCTTTGGGTTGGGGTTGTCAGCTACTTTTGGTGGCTGCTGATAGTCAGCCGCAAAATCCCCCTGGTCAGAGCCGGAAGATTCTGCTCTTGATCCCTGGGCGGCCTCAGCATCGCCGGCTTCATTGGAGGAGGCGGCTCCCTCGCCGTCCACCTCTCTCACCCTAGAGATCCCGGATGTAGAAGAAGCCTCTTCGTCGGATCCACTCTCCTCCAAATCCCTTGGATCCCCATCCGGGAAAACCTCATCGGCAGGCACTCTCATGGTGCGCTGGCTCTTAGACCGCCTGGCCGTTTGTTTCGTTCTGGACATTGTGTCCTGCACAGACACAGAGAGGGAGGAATTCGGAGATGAGCATATTGGTTCCGACAGTCCAGAAGAGGCACCCCCTGTTCTAGACTCAGCCGTTCCTGGGGATCGGCTGAGTGTCCTAGGCAGTGCCGAGTGGGTGGATTGGGAACTCATTTATGTTCTATTAAGAAAGTCGGGTATACATGCGAAAATAGTATGCAAATTGAAAGGGAGAAAAGCTAAAATGGTACAGGCGGTTACCTTGCTTTAACTCTGGAAAATCTGAAAACCGCTACAGCCGGTGTACCGGGTGATGAACTGCTAAGTACTCGGGAGCTTGAAACTCGCTGATTATGCAGGCGGGAGCAGAGAAAAATCTCTCTAGAATCTCTCTTTTTCTCTCTCTAAAAAGTCAATGTAAATGTAAAGTGTGAAAAGGAGGGGAGGTAACTTTCTATTTATTAAAAGTAAAAGTGGGGGGAAAATTTTGATTTGAAATTCAAAATTTTACCCCGTTACTGTTCACCTATGAGAGGTGGACACGTGTCACAGGCCCCACGTGACATGCACGTGCGACCTGTGAGGGGCAAATGTTTAGGGTATTTTTACCCTAGACATATGGACCAATGAGAGGTCGCCACGTGTCGAGCTTAGGATGGCCCATGTGGCTCAACATCCTCTTGACACTTGGCGCCCTCAGATATGTTTCCAAAATGGCGGCCTTCAAAGGCCCAGATTCCTAAGCGCGCCGTAAAACGGCGCAACCCACTAAAATCTAGGTCAAGTGACCTAGGTAGGGGCGCATTTTCCAACGACCCTATAAATAGGGAGATATTTCCCCACTTTGGGGGACAGATTGAATCATTAATTACACCTTTATTCTCTTACATCAGAGAAAGACCTGAGCTTGGAACCCGAGCAGATACCCACCTAAATTTCCGTTTTCTCTATTCCGTTTCAAGTTATTGACTTGTGCGTCGGAGGCAGAGCACCACCCAACCGGTGTCTCCGTTTGTTTTGCAGGTACAACTCACTACGGATCAGTCTTCGTGTTGTAACTCTCCCAAGGGACAAAAACACCCAAAACATAACTTTGGTTATAATATTAATATTATTGTCCACTAAAGAGCATGCATTATTAAACCGTAAAAAAACAAAAGCCCTTTTAACGTGACCCTTATAATAACGTTATGCATTATTAAACCTTATTTAACAAAAGCCCGTTTAACGTGACCCTTATATATAATAATGTTATTATCCATCGGATTATTATCCTATCGGCCTATCCCCATGAAATCAAGTCCAATCCATCGTCTTGTAATTAAGACTTTACTTTAAAGTTTTAATTACAAATTATTTGTATTTTTTTTTTTTGGGTGCACACAAAATTAAACTACTGTATTTTGTTGGTCGTTGAAATCAAACAGTTACACTTACCTATGCCATCTATCCTCCAATAAATTAAATTCCTCCTTTCATCTGCATGCACAATCAACGTTGTATACATGTAAAGTTCGTATAAGTTGTATACATTCACACGTTGATTAATACCATTAATATATTATCTTCATTTTTTTACTATATAGTTGCAATAATGATATATTATTTATAAGACATATACTTCGTAAATTAAAAAAATTCTTTTATTGTTACTATTTATACAGAAATGGAGGTAACATATAATATAAGAATAGGCTTATAATTAATTTACACAAATTGTCAGTCCGGACTGACGAAATGTGGATTTAATTTGATATTCTCAATTAGGTGGATGATATCCTCTACTGACTAGATATTCTTTATTGGTTATATGATATCCTTTATTGGCTGGATGCTAATCCTATTGGCTGGATTATATGTATATGATATCATGGCCGGATGATACCCTCGATCTATTGACTATATGATATCATTTAGGATTGTGTCTATAATATCCTTTATTGGATGGATGATATCCTCTATTGGCTACATGATATCATGACTGGATCTTGGCTATATGATATCATACATCCAGCCATGATATATCATACAGCCAATATAAGATATTATCCAGCTAGTAGAGGATATCATACTGTATCAACAAATCAATTGAGGATATTAAATTTCGTCAGTCCGAACTAACGCAATGCCTTCTCAACTCGTTAATTTTATGTGCATATAAAGATATTATTCTAGATAAAGATAACAAAAATACATTAAATTATTATATATGAAGATCATATCAAGAACGATTCTTGTCTTCTTGATCATATTATTTTATAATCCACAATAATTCACACTATGCCCCCCTTCCCATACTTTTGAGTCATTCGGTATTTGGATGTGTTTCGAAAAATTCCACATGCATAAATATATTAATTTAATCTTTTGTTCATACTATAAAAAGTAAGGCATCAAAGTGTAAGAGGGTGTATTAAATAATAACACCCCAACTTACATTATTTCTTCGAATTCTCAGCTCCATTATTAGTAATATTAAGGAAAAGGATACTACTCAAAAAGGAAGCTAAAATCCTTTATACATTTGCATTTCTGGTAAAATTCTGATCTGCATTTCTTTAGTTAGCTTGGTACGTACTTCGTATAATTTTAAATTTATAACATTTTATAATTTTATTTGTAATTAATATTTGCATGCATTGCTACATTTTAATGTAATCCTTACATTTATATCTCAAGAAACAAATTTTTTGGATTTTTTTTGAATGGAAATTTAGAAAATTATATTGTGTAAGGGCTTTCGCAGCGATATATTTGAGCACCCTGCTTGCTAGTAAAGAAGGGTTAATACTTACGTGTAATATTCAAGTGACAACCTTCAAGTAGTAAATAAGGATTTTTCAAACGGAGTAGTAAAGTTTTCTTTCTTTCATGTATACTCTATTGTAGTAAATTTGTATATATAATTACAAAAATTTAATTAGTATGCATGCATGTTGGAGTACTGATGATTTTGTTTGAAAAAAGAAACGAAATAATTGCAAACAGTTTAAGAAAACAAATGAAATTAAAACTTAAATGGGTATTTTTTTTTTACTAGCTAGTAGCTAACATATTTTCACAACACAAATATATTTTTATCATGCATGATTATAATAATTAAATTGTAAATTAATTAAAAAAAATGTTCGTAATAGTTAAAAATAATCTTAGTTTTTTTTAAATTTTTTTTATTAGGACGGACTTTTATTAATTTATTATAAGACAAGTTAAAGTTACCCTTATATACTACAATAGTTTTCATTTTTCTAAAATAAATTTTATCACTTATAAAGTTATAATCTATTAGATTAATCATATTATCCTTCAAAACACGTTTCGATTAGAAATTACACATGAAAATTCCGCGGACTTAAAACTAAGAAACAATGCCGTCTAAGCTACTACTAAAAGACCAATTTTTCTTGCAAAAGTTATATTCTTCTATGCAAAAGGAGACTTAATTAAAAAGAACAAATTAAGAATTTTGGATTTGACTTTGAGCACAACCAAATGAAGAGGGATTTTAATCACTCTGTGACCTTATTGAAGAAGAGAAGGAAGTATAATCAAACGAACTCATTACAATTTAAAAATTAAAGGTACATTAAGAAGGATTAAAGTTATCATTAAAAATTGTTAAAGTTACCTTCTTAAATTGACGGTCTTATAATAAATTAACGTAAATTCGTATTATACAATACTTAATTTAGTATGAGGTTGGATATTATCATGGACGGACCCACGTGAGGACAGGGGGGAACCATTGTCCCCCACTTTCAAAAAAAAAATCAGAGAAATTAAAAAAAAAGAAAAAAAAAAAGAAATCAGCAGCACGTGGGTAAGAAGAGAAGGAAAGAGAAAAAAAATTCAGAAAAAAGGGAGGAAAGAGAAAAAAAGGGAGGAAAGAGAAAAATTTTCAGAAAATAAGGGAGGAAAGAGAAAAGCTTTGAAATTCAAAAACCTAAGAGAAATTGAAGATCGCGCACCACCGACCACCGCAAGAGCACGGCACCACCGAGTCACCGACCGCTGGATTTCTAGCCGCAACACCGCTACAGCGCCACTACCGTCAAGGCGTCAACACCTGAAGAAATTTATGAAATTCTGCAAATTAAATCACAAACGAATTCTACTTAGTCTTAGTTTATCTCTATCAAAATTCTTGTACTTCAAAATTCAATGGAGTAACAAGCTGAGGATAACGAAAACCCCAGTCAAAACCCTCTGTTTCCGGTATGTTTGCCAAACCTTAGGTTTTGGAATATTATATGTACGCATAATTACCTTTATTTTACAATTCTTGTTGATTTTTTTGTTGAAAATATCAAATTTAGCTAAGTTATTGTGTGTTGATTTTAATTTTTTCATGTTAATTATATATTTTCTCATTACTTTGGATGCTTTAAATGATAAATTTGTTACATTTTGATTGGAATTTGATAGTGATTTCGTATAGTGTGAATAAGATTTTATAAAGCCAATTATTACCAATTGCAAGATTGATTTGAAGGTATTAGGCAATTGACAAAATAAACTTTTTTTGTGTTTAATCTTTGGGTAATTCTCTTTGGTAAACCTCTAATTTTTACTTTTCTTAGTGGTAAATTGTAAAAATTCTTATTATACTTGATAAACTTTAATTTGTTATATTTTTTCAACGGTGAACTTAATAAAGCAATTTAGTTAATATTTAATCATGGTTAACATTTTTTAAAATAAAAAAATAAAAATTCCTAAAATATCCTCACTTAACTCATCATCATCATCAAGATCACCAATTCATCATCTTCATCCTGTCATCATCTTCATCCTCAATTCCTCACCTTTTCAACAACCACCACAATACACTAAAACCACCCACCTACATTCTCCACCACCACATTCATCGCCTCACGCCAACACCGAAAAACCACCAGTTCAGCCACCACAGTTAGCCACTGCCACACCTTGTTGTACGCTACACCACTTCAGCCACACCACCAAACCACCTTCAAACCGCCACCAACTCTCACTCCATTAGCCCGCAACACCACCTGCCACCAATCCTCAATCCAATTCCCCACCCCTTCGCACCTTTCCATCCCTATGAACCACCACCGTACCCTTTTCCCCAAACAAACAGTCGACGTCCCTCAAATCCTCAATCTCTACTCCTAAAAAAAATCCGCAGAATTTAGCTTGAATCTCCCCAATTGAATCTCTAAAAGCATATTTTCTTCTGCAATTTTGAATGAATTGTTGGTTAATTTATGCAATTTCTCTTTCAAATTGTGATAATGGTAAATATGGCATTAAGTTCTAAACCAAATTCGCGCATCATATGGTCATATGATCGAAATCAACGAGCTGTTAAGTTCTTGAATCGGACCCCCATCCCTTCCAAGATCTCGAAAATGGCGTCCCTCCCCTTCCCCCACCTTAAAACCGCCCACCAAACCTTAAACCCCACAAAAAAACACTCTAACAAACGAACATCAAACCCAAAAACCACTTTTGGGTGGGGTTTTATTTAGACGACGAAAAGCAGATTGCGAGGGAGGAGGAGGATGAGGGGCTGGGAAGGCTGGTGATTCTAGGAGAAGGGTTGCCGGCGTAAGGGAGGAGCTATTCGTGGTTGAACGCTTTTGGTAGGAAAACTAGAGTTTAAGATTAGGGTCAATTTAGTCATTAAGTGTTTAGTTAACTAGGGTTAGGCTTATAATTTCCTTAATGTTACCATTGAAATATTATAACTAATTAAAATTTACCAAGGATAATAACTTTTTTTACAATTCACCATTGAGAATGTTAAAAACTAGAGGTTTACCAAAGAGAATTTCCCTTAATCTTTTGTTGTTGTTGTTGTTGAAATCTTATACTTAGGGTGAGTTTATTAGTGAGTCTTGATTAGAGTCTAAACTCAAGACTCACATACAAGACTATATAATTTTTGCAATAAAGTGGTGCAAGACTATGAGATGAGTTTTGGATTATAAAACTCATCTTAAGACTCTACAAATTTACAAAAAGCAATCTGATTTTTTTTGTTGGCCAATAAAGAGTTGCCAACTCATTAGCTCAAAAAAGTTGTTACTTTTTATAAAAGAAATAGCTATTTAAATAGTGAATCTGGAGTGAGTCTTGGGATAATGTGTTAAAAGTAGAGAAAGTCTGGTATGAGTCTTATAATTAAAAAATAATTTAACTTTAGTGGAAAGCTGACGTGGTAGAGTCTGAGTTAAGAGTCTCGGTTTTGGGATAAACATACCCTTAGCTGATTTTATTGCTTAAGGAAAAAGTCGTACAAACTAATTTGTGGAGATAGGAAATGATGTGAGGTGAATGAAACACCTCTACATGTCAGGTTGTTCTTTTTTTTTTTTTTTTTTTTTTTTTTGATTTTTTCCTAATTTTTTATCTTAGATTATAAAAAAATTAAAGAATTAGTTTATGAGTAATTATGTTTATGAAATCATTTTTTGAATTAATTTGTGATTTAGTTTATTTCTTATTATTATTGTGTACCCGAATCATTTGTATTGTGTACCCGTTTTTTTTTTAAAAAATGGGTTGATGTTAGTTGAATTATCGAAATTGTCCTCCCATTGTCAAATTTCTAGGTCCGCCACTATTATTATGTGAGGCATATAAATTTATAAAAGCATGTTGTTATCCAATGGAGAGGTTTACGTTGTTGCTACAAGAATTAGGGTGTGTTTTATAATTTTATTCACTTGATGTTCACCTATCAATCAATATTTTAGTGAGTAAATAAATTAAGCTAAATTGTGAAATTTGAAATTCAAAATATTAAGATTAAGGGGGGTAAGGGTAATATATAAATGTTATTATGCATTTAAAACTTGTCAAAAAAACCTTAAAAAAATTACGCATGTAAAACGTTATTGGATTAGTTGCAAAATGCAAATTATAAATATATCATCAACTTTTTATAATCTACAAATTGCTAATTAAAGAAATTAAAGGTGCGGTCAAATAAAGTTTGTTAAACATGTTAATCTACAAATTGTTAATTAAAATTTTAAGAAGACAGAAGAAATGTTACATACGTACATTCCACCAAAAAAAAGTCACGTACATAATGCAATGCAAGCTTTTGTCTTTACATGGATGATTATTGGATGCAACATGCATGTCATGCAAACTATTGTCGGCTGCCAACTCCGTTTAGCCTAATTTTATACTCCCTCCGTAATATAATACGGAGTTTGGTTTTGTATTTTAATTTTCAAGTATTTTTCTTGTGCTAAAAAATACTTCCTCCGTTTTTATAATTGACACCGTTTGACTTTTATACTATTCACATAATACGCTCTGATTGTCTTTTGTGATTTATAGATAAGATAAAACATAATCATGTGGAATCTTGATTGAATCGTTTCAATATATATTTTATTAATATCCACTTTTTATAATTTTACAATATTGATAATCAGAGAATTAATCATAACAAGTTGCATGACCTATGTGGTTTACTGCAAGATGGTATGCATGTCATGTTAATATGTTATATATAGCATGTCCCATAGTTTCTCGTGAAGTGCTTACGTACCTAAATTTTTATTTTCGTTTGGCAATTGTTTAACGAATTGTTAGAGATATGGCTATTTATATGAGTATCCTAATACGAAGTATATATTAGTAATGATAAAATGTTTGATGATTTGTTCAATAAGAACAAAGTTTAATTAAATTGCCTTTGAACTAAACTTATCACTAATAATCGAATTCAGGTAAATGGGATCGACAGATGGTTACGAAATGATGGATGTGTATAAAATAAAAGGCGGCAATCACTTATCAGGTGCCATTAGAGTTGATGGAGGGAAAAATAGTGCAGTCGCATTAATTCCTGCATCAATACTAGCCAATTCTGTTGTAGAAATCGAGGGCTTACCAGACATTTCCGATGTGTTGATGCTTAAAAAGATTTTGGAAGAAATTGGCGGAGAAGTAACGTTTAAAGATGGAAAGATGATTATTGACCCGACCTGTATGGTAAACACGCCTTTACCAAGTGGTAATGTTAAAAAGCTTCGTGCTTCATATTACTTGATGGGTGCCATGCTTGGCCGTTTCAAACATGCTGTGATTGGGCTACCCGGCGGTTGTTTCCTTGGGGGACGCCCGATTGACCAACACATCAAAGGTTTTAAGGCCCTAGGAGCACAAGTGATGACTAATGAACAAGAAATAGTCTATTTGCGCGCTGATGAGTTGCACGGTGCAAAAATTTGCTTAGACGTTGTTAGTGTTGGTGCAACAATCAATATCATGCTTGCTGCTGTTCTGGCTAAGGGACAAACTGTTATCGAAAATGCAGCAAGAGAGCCTGAAATTGTTGATGTTGCATCTCTTCTTATTAAGATGGGTGCAAAAATCAAAGGGGCAGGAACAAATAGCATCAGCATTGACGGGGTTGAGAAATTAGATGGGACAAAGCACACGGTTATGCCAGACCGAATTGAGGCAGGGACGTTCATGATCATGGCAGCAGCTGTTGGAGATGGAATTACAATCGACAATGTAATTCCGTCTCATATGGAAGCTTTGATTGCAAAACTACGCGAAATGGGTGTTCAAGTCCAAGAAGGCAAAGACTCCATTTTCATTCCGAAATCTAAAAACTTAAAGGCGATTGATATAGAAACAAGTGTTTACCCTGGTTTTGCAACAGATTTACAGCAGCCGTTTTCTGTGTTGATGACACAGGCAGAAGGATCTTCGACGATTACTGATACAATTTACTCAGAGCGTTTTAAACACATTGACGAGTTATGTCATATGAATGCTAGCTGCCGGATGGAAGGAGGAAAAGCTATCATTACAGGATCAACTTTGCTTACAGCAGCAAGTGTTGTAGCATCTGATTTACGAGCTGGAGCAGCATTAGTCATTGCAGGTTTGCTTGCAGAAGGTGAAACTGAAATTCGCGAAATTCATCATATTGAAAGAGGATATTCAAAGATTATTGAAAAATTGCAAGGACTAGGTGCTGATATTCATAAAGACAGACAATTAGTGTAAGTTCATAGCCTTTTGAAGGTGCAAATTAATCTCAATTGGGAGTTATAAATAACATTATTTGGTGAAATTATATTATTGTTTTCGAACGTGTAATTTGTCAAGTAATAGAGTCTGAAACGAATTTTATGTAAAAAGCACAATACACTTCGAATTCAACTTAAGAACAGATTCTTCAGAGTCAATTTTCTAAGCCACGATGCAAAGAACAAAACAAATTGACAAGAGAGACGAGAAGGTTGAGACTAGAGAGACGATACATTAGGAGGATCGTGCATATAAAGGCTATAGTTATGGAAGAACATAAATTAGGCATGGATCATTATGATTTTTTTTACTTGTAGCTTACATTGTGTTATCAAGCTATACTTCGAGTGGATACCTTAAACCGGATTTTAGGCAAGAGATCGATCACATGATCTCAAGGGTCATGCTCTTTACAACTCTTCTATTCCCACAAAATTACATCTTCTCCACCTAAATACTACATTTCTTCGAAAGCAACATAAATTACCTATAACATCAAATAATGTAACAAAAATACCTTCTAATGCCAAGAATTTCACCTTCGATTCCACAAAGTGATCCGACTAAGAGCTCTAACATCTTGGTGACATCTTCCTTCCTTTTCTCCTTTGACATACCGGTTCTTTGATCTTTGAAAGAATTATTGGCTGCTTGATGTACTGTTCTTTTCACCGGCAGTCCAATATTGTTTAACTGCAAAGAGTATCTTCTCAGGCACAAACGGACCGTCTTCATGGTCTATTAACTTGAGATCCCACCTCATACCCCGAGCGATTTGCTTAACCTTATTTAGTGGGTCAACTGCGTCTCTGAAGATGACTACACCTTCAGGGCGCAGGATTCGATCCATCTCCAGAAGAATATCTTCATAATCACACCTAAACAAAATAAACATTTTACTTTAGACAGAGCAAGTAAAGAAAGAAAGAAGTTTTCCCTGACTGACCAACCCTTAGATATATTCCGTACACACTACAATTTACAAACGTAAAAGTAACAAGGTATATGGTCCAACTTTCCATCAAAGATCCAAATCAGAAAAGGTTTGAGTTCTTACAGAAGAAAACGGATAAAAAAAGTGGTGCTAACATATGAAGAACCAAAATATTTTTAGTAAAGAAAAGAGACTTACTTATCCTGGTACATGCTGAACAAACCATTAGCGTGAATCAGGTCATATGTCCTTGGGTAAGTAGAGAAACCTTCACACCTAGAAAAACAGATAATTACATATTATAACAGCATGTATATGACAAACACATTTAAAATAGTCGTTATATACAGAAAAAAGATAATACAAAATGTTAAAAGGAACAAAATAAACAAATTTCATCTCACATACCAGTCATGATATATGCCAATAAGACCTCTTTCATATACCACCCCTAAAGTGTTTTCGGCAATATTGGGCACAACGTTCATAACCCAAACCTTGGGTGAATCAAGTGCTGCTGCAAAACCACCAAGGTCTGCATTCATATCCATTATGTTGCGGTATCTGGTTGTTCCAATTAATCTATTGTGGTTTTTGTAAGCTTTGACATGCTTCTTCCACTTTGCATTGTCTTCTTGGTATGACTCTTCGGTGACCCTTGGAACCAACCCCTTGGCAATTCTGGGAGGAGTTGCAAAAAGTCTGGCAGGGAATTTCTCCAACTTGCCTCCAGCAACCTCACTTGAGCTTGATACCTCAGGGAAAGGTGTCACGCAAGTTTCCATTTTCTTGTACCTGCATCATTTATAATTTTCGGTTACATAAGATAACTTCATAAAGAGCAAATAATCATTCTGTCTCACAATAAAAGTCTTATTACTAGTTTGAATTTACACCATTTCGTAAGAGATTGATGTCCTTTGCGAAACTCTTTTAAACCACAAAGGAAACAATCAATTCTTAGTAGCTTACGATTGGCATTCAAGGATTTTTCCAGCGTGAGCATACTACATGCCTAGCTTCTAAGTGCTAACAACCCAACCACAAGAATTGAAACAATAGTAAGATCTACTAACCAGACGTCATCAGGATTTCGTGACTCGCAGACATTCTGTGGCTTTTGTTTGCAGGATTCAGCATTGATCTTCTTTCTAAATATAGCAATATCTCCTTTCTCGTACTTTTTCTCCCAGCATAGAGACTCAGCCAAATCTTCAATTCTCTTCTGCTCAGCTTTGCAGTCTTCTATTGTACGCTTCCATACTTTATGATATGTCTTCCAATTGTAAGGAGGACCAGACAACACCCAGTAACCACCAGGTCTCAGAACACGGTCTACTTCCATCAGAGACTTCCCATCTGTATGCAGGCAAGAACGAATGTCAGATAAGTCAAAGAAGGTATTAAAATTGAACAGGTTAAGCATTTTGGAGCCTTTCAAAAAATCAATAGATTTATGGAGTTTAATTTTCTCTAGTAAAAAAATCAATAGATTTATGGAGTTTAATTTTCCCAAGATTTTTAGCAATTTTCTTTTTTCTAAATGAGACACAAGGCGCAACAACATGCAACAACAATATCTCCCGAATCAATTCCAGTACTTACCATCATTTCCCCATGGTATCAAACATCTGGAGCACTGGGCCATATCAAAGGCCCTTGCGGGATATGGAAGATATATACTTCCAAGTACACCAATAACTGCCGGCACTCCTCTCTCTAATGCAAACTGCACTTGAGCTTCGTGATTGTCTCGTGGTGCAAATGACATAGCCAACACATTTCTCTTCAGCATGTATGCACCCCAGCTTGCAACCTGTTAAAAAAAAAAACATTGTTAGTCAACTGATCTGATTTAAATCACAGGCTTATTCACAATTCAGGCTGTAAGTGTAGAGTGGAAACAGAACATCTACTGGGTATTAATTTTTTTTTTTGCCTTGTCCAATCTGCTATGTTTAGAGGCTCTGATGAAGGAGTGCGCTAGTTGGAATAATGGATATCACAAAACCACAAGTCCACAACTAATATGGGAATACTAATAGGCAATGTGCAAGAAGTAGGAGAATCAGTGTTCAAACAAGCTAACAAGTTAGAAATGACTAAAGCATATTTTCCTTTAAAAAAAAGAAAAAAAAAAAAAGAATAAAACATATTTGTATTAATGGCCTTTAGAAAACTTGAGAAACAAAAAACGATTGTCTCCTGCTGATTCAATTTTAACAAAAAACTATATCAAAAGTGATAAATTTTAACAAGATCAAGTTCACTAAAGGCCAATCACTACTACTTGCCAAGGAGTTTAAACTGAGACTAAAGTACTCCTTTAATGTCTCCTGCTGATTCACATTAATTAATGGGATACCAGATGCAAAAGAGCAAAAAGGCAAGCAAGTACAACAGACAACCACCCCAAAGGAATAAGGACTAGGTCAATTAGTCAAATAAAAGATTATCAATGCTCAAACGTTCCAGAGAAAAGGAAAACATGAAATGCTTTTCAATTTCTTAATTGGAGTTCAAAGAATCACGAAACATGATAAGAGAGCATATATGAAAAGGGGAACACAAAGAAAAGGGATGGGCAAGATAGGAAAGAAAACACACCCCGCAGCCAGTATCCAATGCTGTTCTAACAGTACCATCTGCAATCGGAATTACACTGGCAAGCTCGTCAATGTAAGCATCAGCACCTTGAGGGAACATTGTCCCACCACCAGGAAATTTAAATACATTGCCTTGAAAATCTACCCAATGTTGGCCAGCCTTCTCAACAGTCAGATGCTTATAAGGCACATTAGCATAGTAAACATAATCCCGACTTTTCGGCCAGGGGAATGGAGTTGTGTATCCCACAGGTGCTGGGATAAGACAGCGCAATTTTTCCTCATCTGGGGGGCAATGTCTCTCTCTGTAGATCATATTTTCCCTTGGGAATTTCATAGCTCTGTCCTGCTCCTGGCAAGGAGTATAATCAGAGTATTTTTCATCACATACCTCATACTTTTTAACTATCACCTCAGAAGACTCAAAAGTCCCAACAAATTTATGGTGAGGTTCAAAATCCAAATCTGACTTTACACCGCAGTCTGTCAAATCAGCCACCTTTGACATCTTCATGGCTATACTATCCCCCTTGCCAAAGCCACTTCTTTGCCAAGTTCCTAGTAAGTAACAGAAACAGCAAAGTCCGAGCACAATAAATATCGACATGGACCCTCGGGATCTACCACCATGTTTGGGGGTCATGATGGCGAGCTGGACTCTCACTCCCTACTCCAAAGAAAGATCACAATGCAATCACCTGCTTATAAATAGCATCCATCAACAACCAATAATAAACATTCAGCATAACACATGATAACACATACATTAGCTTTCTTTTCTTTTTCCTTCTTGCTATAAGTAGAGAATTCACATATGAAAAAAAAATAGGCCAAGCCCTCTTTCATTAGCTTTCAGATATTACTTTTATTAGATTAATATCCATTTTATTGAAATTTTGAAACTCTTCCTTTCAACTAAAAACTACCCAAACAAGTAGAACATATCAAGGCATTTAGCATTTTAGCTGGTTCAGTTCGACCGAAACAAATACACAACTCTCCATCAAAATTGGGTAAGACTCAAGGACACAGACTCGGATCTGACCCAACCCCAATATTTTGTCCTAAGTCCCAACAAAACATAGATTGATGGTGATATTCACCTACATACAAATGATACAATGATGTAGGATTACATATATACAAAGAGCACAATCAAATTGGCAATTGCTAAAGGTGATACAAATACAAAATTATATTATATGAAGTCACTCTCCCTTCCTTTCCAAGCATGCTTACCAAATTATACAGAATTGTACAAAAATTAAGGCTAATCAACCATAGAATCCCAGATTTGAACTTAACCCATCACATTAATTTCTATATTAATCTCTAAAAGCTACGGCAAATATCTACAAATTGCTAATCAAATGTCGGCAAAAAGGTACGATCTTTATATTACGGGCATATAAGGTTGCAACAAATTTCATATCAAGCTTACATCTTTCTACAATATAACTCAACACAAATCACAAACCAAAAAAACCCAGATTCATTACATTACATTCTTCCAAAAAAATTAAGGAAATAAATCATGACCCACAAATTCAGATTTCAAAAAAGAAAGTGCAAAATTGGAAATTAAATCTACAATCTGGGTAAATGCAGAACATTGAGATCAAATCAAAGAATGATTGAAAAAATAGAAATTGGCAAAAAAGATTGAGAATTTACCTGATGAAAAAAGAGAGCTCTTTTTTATGAAGGGTGATTGAAGCAGATCTTAAGGAGGGAAGTGAGTGAGTGAGTGATAAAAGGGAGAAGGGCAGATATGATGAGAGTGAAAGTGGGGAGTAATGAGTGTGAAGTGTGATGTGAAAAAAGTTGAAGGAAATGAAAGAATCTAATTAATTAATTAATTAATTAATTCAATAGTTAATCAAGTGAGTGACAGAGGAGAGAGAAAGAGATCGAAAGTTCAATGTGTAATGTACTTCTGGCGGTGGCTTAGTTTGAGTTTTTTTTGTTCTTCTTATTAAGATAAAGATTAACAACCTAACTTCACTAAATCCAAATATCAATTATTTTTTGTTTGAGGATTTCAGTTTGGATTATCTTAGATCAACATTTGCATCTTTTGGAAGGTTTGTTACATTATGTTTCGGGTGAAAATAATGGGACCTTGTCGAAGGTCCGATGAAGTGGAGAAGACTGGATTCGGTCCAAGTGATGTTGGGCCGAAGGTTTCCTGCACAGTAAACACACGTAAACTAGCCTCGGGGGTGTTGCCGAGGAAGGCCCCTCCGATGATAAAGTCAGTACAGTGTGTAGAAAGAGAATGATATGCAAGAGAATTGATTGCTTGAGGCTTTGTTTGAATGAATGTACAAATGTAATATTGATGACTTTTATACCTTTGCATATATGGAGAAGTTGGGCCTTAGCCCAATTGACTTGCCTTGAGGACTGATCTTTGACTTTAGTATAATTGGAGAGTTGAACCGTGACCTTGGGCTTTAAATTGGATCATTTAATGACTAGGCCCAATTGGACTAAATTGGATCCAAACAACTTGCCCCCCAGACCCGATTTGGCAGGATGACGGGTCGGGTTTGATTAATCAGAAAAGGAGGGAAGTGAATGATTTAATTAATCCAAGAAATTTGAATTTAAACCGTAATTAATGAGATAACAACAGTTAAGGCGAATAATTGTGGAAGTTGGACGGATAATGGGTGGTTTAATCGCAAGGTCGTGTGTTTAACGGTTACTTAGTGGGATGTTTAAGAGAAATTGAAACGCGGACTCCCAGAATTCCCATTTCTGGAGATATAATTAGAGGCGCGTCATCTCTCCTCACTTATTCACCAACACAAACCCAGAATTCTCGAGAGAGCCCAAGAACCCGCGTCAAAACTTCGCAAATTCCCCGAGCATTAAGCTTAGAAACTGAGACTCGTCACTACCAATTCGTAAATCGGCAACTTTCGCTTCAGATTAAGGTAAATTCCTTTGATTTTAGTTTATTTTTCTTCGAATTTGAACTCCTTCCCTTTCTTTTCAACTTTTTTCTTCGAAACTCAATGGTGAGAGGAGTTAGAGGTAGAACCCGTGCTCCAAGAAGAGCAAGGCCAATTCCCGATCCCAGGAACAGGATTGGGACCTGGAATGGACAGAGAGTAGAGCCTGACCCTGCTGAAGGGATTAGGGCGACTCCCATTTCTTCGGCTCCTCCTCAGAGAACGGAGGGGCCGAGCGCTTCTGGTCGGGACGATGAAGTTCCCGCTATCCTTTGGGACATCCTTCCTGGGTTTTCGGAGTGGGAGGATGCTGAAGTAGCTTCGGCCATGATAAAGAACCGCCCCTACTCGTGGTGGGTGGAGAATGCTGAACAGTATCGGTTTGCCGAACAGATTGAGTTGCATTACGGCATCCTTGAAGCTGATGGGTATTGGTGCCGAATGCCCGTGGCATCCGATAGAATCCATCGTCCACCCCCGGGGTATGTGAGGGTGTACACAAGACAACTTCAGTATGGGCTGAGGTTCCCTTTGGACGTATTCGTCCGAGACTTGCTGATCCATTATAATATTTCCCTATGTCAGCTAACTCCCATTAGCATCCGAAGGGTGATGACATACTTATGGGTCTGCAAGTTCTTCAGGTATGTGCCGAACCTGCACTGCTTCAAAAAGCTCCATCGGCTAGTGCCAAATATTCAAAGTGGGCACGGGAGTCACGGTTCTGGGTGGTACCGGATTGAGTCTCGGCCCCAGTACCTAACCATGTGGCCGAACGACTCTTCAGACAAGGACTGGAGAGGTCAATGGATTTGGGTTAGGGCGCCCACGGACCCGGGCCACCCTTGCGTCTTCAGCGCTCCCAAGTATCTTGCTGAGCCTGATCCCGACATGGGAAGTTTAGGTCCCCCCGAAGATAACAGCCCAGATCCGAACCTTAATTAACAGAACATCTTCGGCAAGCTGCCGAACCGGGGGGGCAGCGGTCGAATGCAGCATATCCCGGAGACTTGGCTCCCCGATACGCATTATGTTTTCCAAGAGAACATGTTAGCAGCTGTCGGCCTCAGCCGAAAGTTTAGGGATGGTAAGCTTCTTCGGCTGGGGCCGAGGCTTTTTAATTATCTCTTTTCCTCCGTTTTCACTTCGCTCTTTTATGTTGTGCCAACCTAACTGAACTGACCTTTTCCCTCTTCTTTTTCAGAGCGGGACGAGACCAACGTCGGTATCAACTACGCTCGTCTTGGCGTCAACCGAGAACGAGTTGTAACTGATCGGGCCCCCTCTATCACTGAACCGAGGCATAGGGAAGTTCATCTAGACTCTTCCCATTTCCAAATTGAGGTTGTTGCTCTGTATCAGAGGCAGAAGCCTTGGTGGAAAAAGAGAGATCCCTGGTTTCAGCTGCTAGACGAAGAAGCTGAAGCTGCCCGTACGGCCGAAGAGGTTGCACGGGTTATTGAAGCTTGTGAAGGATGAGAAGGGTCCTCCAGGGCTACTGAAGAAGAAGCTGCAGCTAGGGCAGCTGAAGAAGACGAGGCTTTGCTGAAGACCTCGGTGAGCTTTTAGACTTAGTCTTGTCTGTGTTTGTTTTGTTTTTTTTTTTTTTTTACTCACATTCTTCCTCCCCCGTCTTTTACAGTCCGAAGAGAGTAATAGACATAGAGAAGGGAAAGCCCCTTTTCGTCCCGAAGACCAGGCACAAGAAGAGTCTTCAGACTCAGACATGGATGAGCAGCCGCTTCAGAAAAGGCGACGAAGAATGGCCATCATCGGCCCGCATGACTTTCAGCGGAGGCCGATGACCATCGGCGTCGAGATAAGGGAACCCGAGGAAGGCAATGGATCGCCGAGGGTTCCCCGGCCGCCGCCTCAATCACCTCCAAAGACCCCTCCGCCACCTCCCGAGATGGAGGTGGATCAGAAAACTCCCGAACTTAAGGGAGGGGTCCAAGAGGAAGTTCAAGAAAGTGCTGCTGAGCACAAAAATGAGGATGTTGTGATGCCCAGTGCTGAGGGTTTCACGGCAGACATTGCAAGAGAGGTTGAGGCCTTCGTCCTCACACCTGAAGAAGAAGAAGAAGTCATAATAATTGACTCTTCTGAGAAGAAGGGGGATGCCGAGCCATCCAAGATTCAAGAAGCTCCATCGTCATCCTTCCCTTCCTTCCAGACGCTGCAGTCTGGAGAAATGGGTTTCTCGGCCCCCCGAATTCCAATCCCAGATCACATCTGGGACCTCATATGGGGTCAGAACCGAGAAGGTGTTGCAACCTACTTCGGCGATTTTGCTGGCATGTCCGAAGTAGATAGGCAAAGAATCTGGTCGCTAAAGGCCACTGCTGGGATGGGCGAATCCAGCAGATCAGTTCCAGACCCAGCCAGGTCTAACCAACTGCTGATGATGCAGGTGATTCTCCTTGCCTTTATCTCTTTTTCAATTCAGCTCTTCAATTCAGTTTCAGTTATTATTATTATTATTTTTTTTCTGTTGACTTGTGCTCGTGTTTCCAGTTCGTGCACAATCAGACTCTCACTGTAGAGCTGATAGATACCCTACAAGATAGGGTAGATGCTGCCGAGTATGACAAGAAGGTAGCTGAGGAGGAGCTAAATCTTGCTAAGCTGAAGCAAGCAGCAGCTGAAGAGAAGCAGCAGAAGGGCGAAGAATATGAAAAGAGAGCTGTTGAAGCCCTTAAAACCTTCTGCGATGCTATGGAGAAGGAAGTTTTTCCCCCACTGATGGAAGGGGAAAAATTCCTTCAAGAGCACATGGGAGTGGACATCTCCAAGTTCAAGGCTACCATTGGGAGCCGAATCCAGGAAGGAGCTGCTGCACAAGCTGAAGTGCAGCAAAAGCTGGAAGCTCTTGAAGCCAGTAGAATGGCCGCTGAAGAGATGCTCCAAGCCCGGAATGTCCAACTCTCAGAGGCTGCTATTGCTGCTGAAGCTCATAGAGCTAAGCTCCAAGAAACTGAGGATCAGCTGATGGCCAAAAAAGAAGAACTAACCCAGGCTCAGACAGAGGCTTCCCAAGTTCAGCAGGAGCTGAACGAGCTAAAAGGTTCCTCCTCCAAGCTCGCCGATGAGCTGAAGAAATCCAAGGAAGACTTGGAGGAGACAAAGAAGAAGTTGGCTGATGCTGAGGCTCTACTCAAAGTCCGTATCTATACCCAAGAAGAGTATGAAATGGGTTTCAGAAACGGGTTCAGAGTGTGCCGAAGAGTCTGCCTACATGCTGAGCCGAAGTTGGACTGGTCCAAATGTGCTGAATGGGTCCAGGATCCCGAAGACCCTCATATGAAATATGCAACTCCAATCGAAGCTGAAATCCTTAAGGCTGAGGAAGCCGAAGAAGAAGCTGAGAGACAGGAGTTGGAGGCTGAACGGAGGGAAAGGGAGGCTCGGCAGAGTGCAAAGCCGGCTTCTTCTGCTGCTGGGGCTGAGGCCACCATGGGGCCCCACAATGCTAATCAGTCTGATCCTCGGGCTGAAGCATAGGAACTCGGCAGTCGTCTTCAGAATCTTGCGGTTCATCATGCGCTCAACTTTAGACTTGCGGCTTTCTGAATTTTTGCCTTGTTTGTTTTTTGCTTCAGCTTGCCTTGTCGTACAAACAGTTTATTTTTTGCTTCTGTACGTATTTCGGCAGCTGTTATTTTCCGCTTGTGGGCGGCTGCCGATATAGTTTTTAATTTATTTGAACTTGTAGCTCAATTTCTGAGCATGAATTATTAATCTGACGTTCCTTTCTTCAACTGCTTTGTCTTACTTTGAATGCTTTACTGTTTCTTCAATTCTGCTGAACATAAACTTGCACTGGTAGTGCCTCTTGCCCCCTTAGAAATTGAAGTATGACTTCAGCTGAATAAACAATTTCTCTATTTCTTAAAAATGGGTATCCGAAACACGGGGCCAACTGAAGGCACT